CCGCCCAGCTGCAACCTTCCGGTGCTCCCCATCCAGCTCCTCGCCAGCTGCAGCCTCCACGTACTCCCCATCCAGCTCCTTGCCAGCTGCAGCCTCCACGTACTCCACTGCCAGCTCCTCGCCAGCTGCAGCCTCCACATGCTCCCCAGCCAGCTCCCTGCCTAAGCTGCCGGAGCCCTCGTTTGAGCCAGACCTCCAGCTGCCACAGCCTTCGTCTCAGCCAGACCTCCAGCTGCCACAGCCCTCGTCTCCTTCAAGTCCTGTTCCTGTCTCCGGGTTGGTCGGCTGGTGCGCCGACGCCGCCTCATCTCCAACTCCTGTCTCCGGGCAGGTCGGCTGGCATGCCAATGCTGCCTCTCCTTTAGTTCCTGTTCCTGTCTCCAGGCGGGTCGGCTGGCACACCCTCACCGCATCCGGCCCTGTTTTCGAGTGGGTCGGCAACGACGCCACTCTCCCGCTTCCAGATCCTGAGTGGGTCCATACCATACACATACTATATATGTGTATGGTACAACAGCAGTACAGTGGCTCAGAGGAAAACGCTCAACAGGGTCATTAATACAGGCCAGCAGATTGTCGGCTGCCCTCTCCTCACTCTGGAAGAACTGTTATTTCATTTTTTTTAGCAGTTATATGGTTTTATTTTGTTTTTGTTTTTTTTATTCCTGCACCGACTAGAGGTCACTCTAAATTCTCATTGTATGTGTTGCAATGACAATAAATGATTATCTATCTATCTACAAGTTGGAAATATTACTAAATATCAGGTCGTCTTCTTCTTCTTTCGGCTGTTCCCATTAGGGGTCGCCACAGCGATTCATCTGTTTCCACCTAACTCTGTCCTTGGCATCCTCTACTCTCACCCCAATTAACTTCATGTCCTCTTTTACCACATCCATATATCTTCTCTTTGGTCTTCCTCTTGACCTCTTGCCTGGTAGCTCCATCTCCAACATCCTTCTACCAATATAACCAATATCCCTCCTCTGCACATTGTCAAACCATCTCACTATGGCCTTTCTGACCTTGTCCCCAAAACAGCTGACCTGAGCTGTCCCTCTGATGTGCTCATTCCTAATCCTGTCCATCCTGGTCACTCCTAAAGAGAACCTCAACATCCTCATCTCTGCTACCTCCATCTCAGCTTCTTGTA